TCTTTCGCCCCATCGCCCCCCCCCCCGCCTTCGTCGCTCCCCGCCGCCAGTTGTCGCCTGATGCCCGCCACCATTCCCGCCCCCCTCCGCCAGTTGTCGCCCAATGCTCGTCGTCGCTCCCGCTATCTACCGCTGACCGCCCCCCGCCACCGCCGCGACTGCTGCCTCCTCTGGCCTACTGGCCTCTGCCAGCCACCGCCCGTCCACCACCCACTGTCAACTTGTCCACATGTAATGCTTCGTGCTGGTTGGAGCAAGGAAGATATCGTATATGTCATGGGCAACAGAACTTAATAGTGGAGCGCACATGAACCCGGTCGTTTATTAAAAATTATAGATTCTTCTTTAAAAAAACAAAAAATACCCAATCAAATATATTTTATACTTTTTTTGTTTTAAAAAATATAAAATCATAGCAGTACCAAATGCATTTTCTAAAAACAAAAAATAGAAAACAAAACAAAAAACAAAACATACTAAAAATAAAAACAAAAATAAAAAATCGAAAGTTGACGATGATGATGACAACAATAACTAGGATGATGATGATTTTGGATTTAAGGGTACCTTTGTGATATCTTATAATCTTTTTATGATCTTATATAAAATATAAAAATTTTAATAAAAAAATATCTATACAGCTTGAAGTCCATCAAGGTCTTCCTAATCAGCCAACCTAAAACATAGCTTGCAGGCTAATCGAACAAGTTAACCACACGAACTTGAAAAAGTAACAAATCTCCATCAATCTCCATGCAAGGTGAGGCAAGGTTCTTTGAAGCGATAAGCTAGTTCTCAACAAAATTCATGCAATCATACATGGAAGCATAGGAACAATTAAGCTACTAAGTTTCAAAGAGCTTTGCAGCTCTTTTCTGGTGTTTGTTTGCTTATTTTCAATCAATTTGAGTCATTTGTTCTACTTGGAAGCTGATTGAAAATGTTATGGAGTTCATTTTTTTGTTTAGGTGTAGGATAGCTTTACCCAGTTGAGTATTTTAATCAAGTTTAGTTCTTAGAATTAAATCATTTCATGCTTAAGAACAAAATGGAGTATAAAATCATCCAAATTTCATGAGAAGTTGAAGACAATCAAACTAAAAGTTTTAAACTTCAACAAAAGTCTTGAAATTAAGGTTTTGAAAGAGCATAAAAATTTCAAATCCTACTTTTGCTTCATCTTTTCTCCTTAAAGTGTCCTAAACATATCATTGTCCTGCACTAGGGGAAGGACAACAAAAGCATATGTCAAAGTGATTAAACACAGGTCGAACAATAAACAAATGACACCAGAAGCCATCCATGAAAGGTATTTCATTATTAACTACAAAATAGCAAAAAAATTTAAACTTTTGAGAAAAGAAACTGAAAGCATACTCTGTTCCACATGACGGACAAAGTTCACTGAATGAATTCCCGTGTAACTCTGCAAGTTTCTCTCTTGGTATTCCAGATCGAAGGTGAAGGCTGTCTATATTCTGTAAAAGAAATTGTTTTACCACGATCAAAAGGCTAGAACGACAAATTAAATTCAGTTCTAATAATGTTAGATCAGCATAGTTCTGTAAAAACAATTACATGCGTAGAACAAAAAATAAAGCAAATATTTGGCCAAAAAAATTAAAAGCCAAAAGACCTCATCAAAGTTAGGAACAAATATCAAATATGGAAAAATGAGGATGTTTCCATTTATTTGTATACCAAATACAACAAAAACAACAAGACTTTATTCCACTAGGTGGGGCCGGCTACATGAATAAATTTTCTCCATTGTGTCCCATTAAGTATCATTTCCATTTAATTTTAATAGATTAAGATCATTTTTTATACAATATACTCAAGTCTTTTTAGATCGCCCTCTGTCTTTCTTAACATAAGTCGAATCTAAAAATCGACGTCATATATTTGTCATCTTTAATACACTTTACTTAAATAAAAGGCTAATATCTAATCTATTATAAAGATCACTAAAAACATAATTTTTAACTTCAAAAATTTTTCTCTCAGATTCTCTACGGGTCACCTTATATTTTTCTCAATTCTCTAAGTTTTTATATTTAAACCAATTTTTATAACACAACTTCTTATATTTTATCTTTTCTTGCATATTATTATTCTAATACCAACCATTTTCATTTATAAAAAATTTTCCTTTTGATTTTATAAATACAACTATTGTCAATAGTTTAATAGTGTTTGTTACTTTATCACACATAAAATTAACTTTCTCATGAACATCCCAAATCTTAAAATCTTGAAGTTTATTCATAAAAATATTTTTATTTGTCTTTTAGGTGCCCCAATTTAATTCTATGACAATGTTTCATTATATTTTTTATTTACAACTCCTCAACTTAAAATCCAGAACTAATAATCGATGTCAATTACTTAAATTTTCACTTGGAATGACCTTACACAATCTTACATTTTCGACAATCTCTTTTTCTCATAAGAAAATAATTCATAATTAACAATCAATGTTGAGTACTTAAATTTATTTTTTTACCAAATGAAAGTGAAAAAAAATCCACAAAAGTTTATTTCTTAAATCAAATATGTTAGTGGCAATTTAACATTCACCCATTACATTATCTAAGAAAAGTAGAAAATAATTTGTGTTTTTTTTTGTGGCCAATAATTTTAAAATATATGTTTAGCCATACTAAGACATGAAAGGTTTGGAATACCGTATAAAACCTACAATACACCACATACCAAGACCAGTATCATGCCTTCTTTTGATCATATATACTTTAATTTTAACATGATTAAAAGGACAAACTTCTGTGGGGATGCATTTTAAAATTATTTTAAATCATACTACTGAAAATTGTGACACAAAAAAACTCAAAACCAAATTATCTATGATACCCTTAGGTAGAATCAAGCAAAAGTATTATATATCGAGGGATCTTTTGGTGTAATGGTTTAAATTTTATTGGAAATTCCAAAGATAGTGTGCTCGTATAGGAGCACTCTCAAGATAGGTGACCTCATAGGAAGTTACACTAATGGGGTGAACTGCGAGATCAATTAACCAAAGTAGACAATATCTCGATGGGTAAGGATTTTGGGTGTTAGTGTGTTACAAATGTTATTAGAGCATTACACCAATCTAAAGATAAGATTATATGCCTAGTGGATGATTTTGGGTTATTAGCACTAATGAAGACATCAGTTACTTAAGGGACTGGTTGGAAGGATTTTTTGTGTATTGTAATTCATTTACAAGGATTTGAAGAAATTATATGTTCTGTATAAAGAAGTATAAGAACAATGCAAAGTTTTAATGAATTTAAAGTTCATTCCTTCATTTTGCTTGAATTTAAAATCCGGCCAATTTTACCGAATTTGAATTAAACTGTAAAATGATATCGGCAAATCGTCACCCACCGTCGCCCCCCTTACTTGCCTCCTAAATAAATTTTCACTTATTTTCAATCTACTTCAAACCAAACAAAAAAATATAAAGTCGTGCGTTTATTTTACAGTGAACCAAACAACCATAAAGCATTTCAGATACATTGTAATAACAGTACTCTACAAACATTTTACATTGTACTTCATTTTCAGCAAACCAAACAACCTCTAAATGGAAAAGATTGTAGAACACCTAAAGTTGTATGAAATTGAACTCATATATATTGAGAGATCTTTTGGATAATGATTGGAATTTCATCAAAAACTCTGAAGTTAAATATGCTTGTATGGGAGCACTCTCAGAATGGGTAACCCCCTCAGAAGTTACATTAATAGGATATAAACAATGAGGTTTCTAGACCAAAGAGGACAATATCTCGATGGGTGAGAGTTTGATTTGCATTAAGGGGCATTTACCTACATAGCAAGCAATTCTTCTGTATTTAGAAATCTCACACCCAAATCTTCATAGTCCCCACATACCACACAAATATTTCCTATGATGTCAAAACCATCGCTAATTATCATTGTTCACATGTTAAATCCACCTTTTTAAGCATAGGAAAAGTAGTAAGTAGGTCAACATCAAAGTTTTGGTGTAAGATAGGTAAACATATAAGAATTATGTGTTACATGCATAAATTTCCCATTAATTTATGCATTATGATGTGAGACGAGAGCCTTTCCGAGGTACTACGGTGTTGAGGCATTCGGCTCCCGTTATCGCTAGAGTCAAGACCAAACCAAAACATTTTTTTTGTTTTTTTTTTATTTTTTATCTTTATTTCTTGTTCCTTCCATTGCTTCCTTACTCTTCAAGTTCTTGCTTAATTCTTTACTTTGTAATTAGGTTCTTTGCTATCAGGAACATATATATGTTGTACTAATATTTTCTTGGGAGCTTAGCTAATTTTTTTTAATTTTGAGCGTTATTTCTCTGAATTTCTGCTCTCCAAAGTATTGTAGCATCTTCTCCTCGCAAGTGGTGTGCATAAAGCTTGCCTAGAAAGAGGTGGTCGTCCGCACCTCATCGATTTACAATTTGCCTATTGTTTCTTGTCGAACAGCCAACAAAATCGCTGCCACCTGTTGTTTTTAGCAGAAAACTGCACTTTTCTGCTCTTGGGTCCTAGCAGTCATTCGTGTCAATTATCAGCCTACGTACGCCCCCCACGCCCCGTATCAATGTTACAACCTCTCCAACACCTTTTGTGCCTTATCACACCTTCTAGGAGCTCTAGTACAGTGTTATACTCTTTCCACCGTATTAATAGCACTTCATGTTGGTTCTACTTACAAGAAATTTTGTTGTTGTGTTCCAGAAGAACTTGATCCTGAGTAGGTTTGAGATCAACCCCTGATCCAATCAAAAGCCAAACTCAAACAAATTGAGTTTAGTTTAAACCAAAATTACTCAATCTTTTTTGCAGGTCCATCATTGATTAAATTTCACATTATTGATACTTAATTTTACTTTAATACAAAAATTATAGTCGTTAGATTCAAATATATACATGTATATATACAATGTGAAAATCTTCACCAAGTCGCTCATATCATGAACCAAGACATCTACATATTTTTGTTTATTTACTTTTAATGTAAAATAGTACTATATCAAGGGGTACAAACAAACAATCAAACTCATGAAAAGCAATCAAGCCTATAGTTGTCCACATGGATAATACTGCTGACGCGGGTGTGGTCTTACGCCTTAGGCAAACACAAAAGAGGGACTTCCATCTAAGATCATGTCTGGAGAGCCTGATTAGCCAAGTTCTGAGTTTTCCAATGCAAGGCGAGCAATCATCTAGGCTTCCAATCTACCTGTATTTAGGATCTTCTAAGGGTTATTTTATGGCACTAATATAAATACATTGTTGTAAGATCTGCTAAGAACTTTTTCTTGAATTTTATAATATTAGATATCGCTTTTTTCAAAATCTCTCTTCTTGGGAGAGTTGTATTCCTTATTCCCTTTGCAAGTGCCTGTAACTTGTACAAGAATAGGGGTTTGCTTCGTTTCAACGTTCGCAAATCTCTAATATAGTCGCTAATTACCTCATCTCAACTTGTCCTCTACAAAGTAGTTGTTGTTCACTTTCTCGTCGCCTCTAAACCCTTGCATTTAGTGATTTTACTCCTTAATACCTTAGTACAACACCCCCACTTCCTTGATCCTTTAACACCATTTAGGAGCTCTCTAAATCAGTGTCATTTATTATAGAACCACCTAAACTTTAGTGTTTTTTTGTCCAAATTCTAAACTTAAGCCACATAAACTAATCAATCTACCAACACAAATACCCAACTTCCATTCAAGTCCCTACCACCACTCACTCTGAATCAAATTTAAAAAATCCCACTTTCACCCTAGTTAAAACTTTAGGTTGAGGAGATCTGACATGTCACCAAGGAGAAGTTTTCAATGAAGTGTTCAAGATCTTATCATGAAAAATATGTAAAGAAAAATCCACCATTATAACGGAGGCTCTCTGATTTTGAAAGAAGGCGGTATAACGAGGTCAGGACAAGTAATAATGGTAATCACGGGATTGATAAAAGAGAGCATTTTTCTGCCAAGAAGCCTCAAGTGCCAAAAAGCTTGTGTCATTAATTTGACATTGAGTATAAGAGAAGAGAGGATAACCTTGGAGTGAAACTTGATTTATTGAATTTTAATAGTCGTATGAATCTGGATGAATTTAATGAGTAGCTCTAGAAAATGGAGCGAGTTTTAGAGTATAAAGTCATTTCACCTGACATAAAGGTTAAGTTAACAGTCATCAAAATAAAGGGAATGATTCCCAATGATGAGAAAATTTGAAATGTTTATATCTCATAAAGGAATTAGTAAAATATTGATCTGGCCGGCCCAAGATGAAGAAGATTCAATGCAAGTGTCTCCCAACATATAAAAACATAATATATTTTTGAAACATAATTATTTAAAACAAAATGACCTACCAATAGAGTACACCACCCAGTTTGAACAACTCATATTAACATGTGAGTTGATGGAGCTAGAGAAGAGAAGAGAAGAGCGTAATAATCTAAT